GTTTTGTCCCAGCAACGAGAGAAATGTAACCAAGGCACCCTCTTTTGACTAAGAATCCAGAGCATTTTTATAAGCAGCTACTTAATATAAACCAGTTTGCAACATGTAAAAAATTGAATATTTAAAAATTTCTTATATATTTACAGAGCAGTAAGAGGGGCCTGTGCAAACAGAAGGAAAAATAATCTGTTCCTGGGGTCTTTGTTGTGTGCTCTTCTCAGGCACTGTTTCCAGGTTCTTGGTATCCTGAACATAGAACTTGATAAAACATATGAGAAAGGTATCAAGATTTTACAATTATTAAAGGTAATAAGTTATGAAAAGTCATATGCTCCATATAGGGTGCAGGCCAATTAAAGAAGGAAAAGTACATTCTGCAATGTGACCATTAAAATGCTTATAATAACAACAAAGTTAATGGCATGCATTTTTGTATCTCCTATTTTGTTATCATATATGGACCATCCTATCAAGGGCTCACTTGACTTCATGTCAGAAGAATTGATACAATAGAGCTCAACTAGGGTTAACATGGTGGACAGGTGGGACTAGCAGTCTGGAACACTCTGAAGCAGCAATAATAACATGAGCCAATGATTGGTTCACATCCATACCTTCGGCTAGCCAACTAGAAAGAATTTATTACAGTCCAAGTAACCCCACAGGAGGAATTCAGCTGACTCACCCCAGCTCTACTTGCATGAACAGTTACTTGGGGGAAAGCAAGCTACACAGCAGGTCCCTGATATCAGTGCACACCAGTTGTAAGTGAAAATAGCAAGAATGAAATGACTGAAATACAAACCAATAGGTGAAAATGACAAAACAAAGAGTAAAATGCAATTTTAAACCTCTAGTCCACCCAGAAAATGTACAGGAGACATAGACATAGAATAAATTGGAAGAAACACACCTGAAATTTCTGAAAAGATCTCAAGGGAAATTTTTAAAAAAACACAAATCCATCAGTCTATAGAGGAAATCAGATCAAAAACAGTATCTGAAGTTAAAAAATAAATGACATCCATAATGAAAGAATTGCTCAGCATAGCTAAAGAAGACATAGACAAAAATAGAGGAGCACAGAAAAATAATGGAAACGTTGAATGAACAATATAGGAAAGAAATAGAATGAGTGAAACAGGTTCAAAAAGATCAGGAAATTTAAAATTCCTTTCAAAGCTGGAAAAAAAGCGTGAATAAAACTGAAAATAGACTTTGAGACCTTGAAGACAGAATCAAGGTTCGTGACGAAAGAAAAGATCTCTTTAATATAACAAGAGACCATGAAATAACAATTCAATAGCTACAAGATGATGCAAAAAATAAAGAATGACAGGTGTTAATGACAACAAAGAAGTCAAATAAAGAACATTTAAAAACTATTTACAGAAGCAATAGCAGAAAATTTCCCAAACATGCTAAAAAAAATCTGACATAAAGGTAAGTGAAGAATACACAACGCCAAACAGCCATAATCAAAAAAACTTCACCCAGACATAAAATAACCAGGACACCAGAAATTTGACACAAAAATGGAATATTAAAAGCTACTAGAGAAAAGAAAAATCACCCATTAAAATCATGGCTGACTTCTTAACACAAAACCTCAAATCAAGAAAATCTTGGAATGGAATACTTGAAGTCCTAAAAGAAAACAACTTCCAACTCAGATTGGTGTACCCTACAAAACTAGCTTTAGGGACTGGGGATTTAGCTCAGCGGCATAAGTGCCTGCCTTGCAAGTGTGTGGTCATGAGTTCGATCCCTGGTACCAATAAAAAAGAAAAGACAAAAAAAAAAAAACTAGCTTTAAAAATTAACAGAGAAACAAAATTATTCCGTGACAAACAAAAGCTAGAAAAATTCATCACCACAAAACCAACCTTGTGAAGACTGCTGCAAGATATTCTAGATACAAATGAAAAATGACTACAATTTCAAAAACAACATCAGGAAGAAACCACATGGTAGGGCAAGCATTTAAGCAGAGGGAAAAAACAGGAAACCAACAACAGGAAAATATCATGGCAAAGATGAGCCAATATATAAAAGTTACATCCATCAATGTAAATGTCCTCAAATCACCAATTGAAAGAAAAAGATTGGTAGAATAAATCAGGAAAAAAGACAACAATATGTTGTATAATGTCAAACACATTTAATTCAAAACAGAAACTCATAGACTGAAAGTCAAAGGATGGAAAACAATACTCCATTCAACAGAAACTCACAAAAAAGCATAGGTAGCTATCTTGTTTGCAGACAATATGAGCTTCAAACCAAAAGTAATCAAAAGACATAAAGAAAGTCAATAAATACTTGCCAGGTGAAAGATCCAAGAGAAAAATTAACTATCATCAATATATATGTACCAAACATGAGAGGACTCAACTATATAAAACAAAGATTAAAAGACATGAAAAATCAAAAAGCAGTAACAATCATAACAAGGGACCTTAAAACCCTATTGTCACAAAGACATAAATGAACTAGACAAAAAAATCAGAAAAAGGGAAATGAATCAAATGCATAAACAAATGGACTTAGTATATGTCTACAGAGTGTTTTACTCCACAATGACAGAATATGCATTCATCTAAGATGAACATGGGGTTACATCCACCAATGTAAATGTCCTCAAATCACCAATTGAGAGAAAAAAATTGGTAGAAAAAGATTGCCCACAGAACATGCTTAACTGTAAAGGAATTAAAATTATTTAATGATTATTATCTGACCATAGTGCAAAGAAATTGTAAATTAGTGGCAAAAGAAACTGAAAAAATTACATAAACACATGCAAATTAGATAATACACTCCTGAACAACCAATGGGTCACAGATGAAATTACAAAAGAAATTAAACAATACCCACAATCAAACTAAAAGGTAAAGACAATGTATCTGTGGGATGCAATGAAAGCAGTCCTAAGAGATAAATTTATGGCAGTGAATTCTCACATCAGCAAAATAGAATGATCACAAATAAGCAATCTAATGCCCCATCTCAAGCTTCTAGAAAAAAAAGAGCAAGTCAATACCAAAGCTCACAGAAGGGAAGAAATTATAAAGATCAGAACAGAAATTTACACAATTGAGACTAAGAAAATGATATAGAGAATTAATAAATCCAAAAGTTGATTCTTTGAAAGAATAAACAAAATGGATAAAGCTAAAATTATCAAAAAATTAAGGAAAACTCAAATTCATGCATTAAGGAATTACAAGAGTGAAATCACTATAGATATTATGGAAATTTAGAATATCATGAATACACACTTCAAAAATTTATACTTGCATAGGATGCAAAACAGAAAAAATGGAAAGAGTCCAAGAAACTTATACTCAGTGACAACCCAAGAAGATATAAAAATTCTGATTGACTTAATATGAGTCAGTGAAAATTGAAAACATAATTAAAATCTTACCAGCAATGAAAAGCCCAGGTGCTGATGAATTCATGGTTGAATTCTACAAACAATTTAGAGATTTAACATTAATACTCCTCAAACTTCTTAATGAAATTGAAAAGGAAGCAAGTCTCCTTAATTCATTCATAGAGATAAGTGTTACCTTGATGAAAACACCAGAAAAAGACCCAGCTTAAAAAGGGAATTACATGTCAATCTCTCTAATGAACTATAGACGCAAAAATCTTCAAAAAAGTATTAGCAAAGAAGTTGCAGCAACTCATCAAGAAGATTACATACCACAATCAAGTGGGATTCATCCCCGTAATGTAGGGAAGGTCCATCATAAGCACATCAATAAATGTAATGTATCACAATAACAGAGTGAAGGGCAAAAATCACATGATAATCTCAATTGATGCAGAAAATATTTTTTATAAAGTCCAACACTGATTCATTATAAAAACCCTACAGAAAATCAGCATAGATGGTCTCTACCTCAATCTGATAAAAGCCATCTATGACAAACAAATAGCCAACATTATACTAAATGGACAAAAACTGAAAGCTTTCACTCAACAATCAGAAACAAGACAAAGATTTCCGCTATCCCCACTCCTATTCAATACAGATCTGGAAATGTTAGCCAGAACAATTAGACAAGAAAGAGATATAAAAGGAATAAAAAATGAAAGGGAGAAATTAACTTATCATTATTTGCAAATGACATGATATTCTACATAGAAGACCTCAAAATCTCCACCAAAAGTCTACTAGATTTATAAGCAAATTCATCAGCATAGCTGGTTTTAAAAAATCAATAGCATTCTTATACATGAACAACAAACTCACTGAGAGAGAAATTATGGAAGCATTTTGACAATAGCTTCCCAAAAAATGAAATACATAGGAGCCAGTCTAACAAAGGAAGAAAAATACTTGTACACTTAAAATTACTCTTTTAAAAAAGATATTGAAGAGATATCAGAAAATGGTAATATATTCCCTCCTCATCAATAGTAAGAACCAACAGTGTGAAAATGACCATACTTCCAAAACTGTTATACAGATTTAGTGCAGTCAATCAAAATACAATTAATGTACCTCAGAGATCTACAGAAAACATTACTAAAATTCATCTGGAACCAAAATAGCAAAGGCAATCATGGGGAACATAAAGCAAGGCAGGAGGCATCACAATCCCTGATTTGAAATTATACTGCAAAGCTACTATCATAAAATCAGCATGGTACAGGCAGGCAAAAACAAAAAACAGATGAGGATCAATGGAACAGAATAAATGATACACATTCAATCAGCAAACACATTCAGCCAACTTATATTTGACAAGGTAGCCAAAAATGTTACTGAAAGAATTTTTTTAATAAGTGGTGCTAGAAAAACTGGCTTTCCACATGCCAAAAACTTAAACTATACCCAAGTCTATCAAAGACAAAATGGATCCAACATCTAAACATTAAGACAGAGTAGAAGGAAATCTCAAGAACATAGGTGTAGGCAGACAGTTCATCAACCAAAAACAAATTACATGAGAAATACTTCAAAGAACTAGCAACTAGGATCTCACCTTATTAAAGTTTTTGCACATCAAAATAAATCTCTGAAGAAGCAATATCCTCTTGTGAGTTGGTATCTTACATGGGCTTCTGGGGGTAGCCCAGCCTTTTCCCATGAGTTAATGGTACCCACAGACTGTGGAAGAGGAGAACAAGAAGTCAAAAAGAAGCAAGCCTTATCTGCTAGTTAGCACCATGAGTGGGCCACTGTGGGGAAAACCAGATGCCACCCCCTTCCTATGTGTGTGCTAAGAGACAAGAAGAGCCAAGCCCCTCCCCTGCCCCACTTCTTGCCCTACTATATGTGACCAGCTAATCCAGAGAAACACAGGCTGCAATGATAGCTATTGAGGTGTCATCACAGGTCCCCACTGATCATCACAGTACTTACCAGGTGGAGTAAAGACCTCCAGAGGACACAGAATGTGTGGATCTTGGCCCTCCTGCAGGAGCTGGAGCACTGAAAAACCAGAGAGAGAGAGAGAGAGAGAGAGAGAGAGAGAGAGAGAGAGAGAGAGAGAGAGAGAGAGAGAGAGAGAGAGAGAGAGAGAGAATATATAATGTGCTTGGAGCAGGTCTTGTCCACATTCAAACCCAAACTGCAGCATTGCATTAATGCTTAAAACACTAGCAACCAGAGAAAAAGATTCATTGCTCTCCAATCTGAGCTCATGCACTTACAAGAGGTAGCATTTTTCTTCACACTCAAAAACATTTCTTGGTTTGCAGTATAATTACCTGATATACCCATGCACATGAATGAGAAAATGGAACATAGCTTTTACAGATTTTCATCTTGAAAAGTCAAGTTTATGCCCCTTGCACAGACCAAAATTAAATAAATAAAGGCAAATTACTGGACCCAGCTTAGTGAGCATTAGGTAGCTGAATTTTTGTTTTTCAAAGTTATTAGGCCTTGTTGACTTAAAACAATAAAGTTGACATTTTATTCATTAAATTTCCATTTGTGTCATTAGACCATGGCAAGAATTGGACCATTCTTGCATTCTTGCATGATGGGACAAATGCACACATTTCCAAACAGGAAGGTCACATAAATCAAAATGCAAAGCAATTATGAGAATCAACTCTCTGCTGAAAGATGCCCCTGGTTTCCATGTGAATAGCAAAGGAGAAATCATTAGAACAGAGACCACTATGGACAGTAAGAGGGGCTGTGTAGCCCAACATTCTCTGCCCTGCAGAAAGGTCCCTTATTATCCCAAGTCATTCCACAAGCTTCTGCTGTTAATGGCAGAATTGTGGTTTTCATAATATGCTATTAGTATATTTCCCAGGAAGTATATTACTTTTTACTTCATTACAATAAACTATATAAAATGGCTCAGACTCAAAATCAAACCACATTGAAGCATACTGTCCATCCATTAAATCTCTTCATAACCTAAAATGTTCTCTGAAGGCATCTTCTATTCATCTCAAATCTTTTAATCTTCCAGGGAGCAGATTCTCACCCTCTTTCCCCACTCTGACCAAATGTCCAGGAAAGCAGGGCATCCTTCCTGGCATGGCTAGCCACCAGCTTGTCTCCAGCAAGGCCAGTCTCTGTCTTCTGTACCAGGATGTGTGCTCACCTCTGGGGGTGACCTCCAAGAACAGTTGCCACTCTGCCTAACCCAGAGCACCCTGCTTAGAGCCTTTCCTCAAATCATAGCACACTTTGTCCAAATCTCTTCCACAATGTATCCTGCTCACTGTCACAGAAAAAGCTTGTTCCGGCCGCTTTGATCACATAGCCTGTATCCCAATCTCCTCTTAAAAGCACGTTCCTGAAGAGATAGGCCCATTCCTGCTCTTCACCAAATGCTTTTCTGCCACCATGCTCTTTCTTCAGCTGCAGATTTGTTCTCATGAGCAGGACTTAATGTGTTTAGTAGTTTGCTACAGGAAATTTCTCAAAGATGACACACTTGCAGGATAGACTGTCATCTGCCATCACATGATGTAGTCACAAGGTCACAAGATTATCTTTCTTTCTCCCTTTATGGAGACCGGCAAGAAGACCAACATGCCCCCCCCCATCTGTTTAAGGACACTCCTGATGCTGTGGGGTAAAGAGATGTCATTGTGCACCCACTCTCTGCATCTCACCAAAAATACCTGGGCAGGGAATACACTTCCTCTTTCTTCATGTGTGGGGGCCCAGAATGTTGAAATTCCCACATAAGTTAGCAGAATATTCAGTGCATATTTGCCAATGGTTTCCAAAGATGGGAAACAACACCTGCTTCCACATGGATTCTTTTAGCAAACAAACATTCACCTTAAACTAACATCTCTACAGTGTTTTACAGTCTACAAGGCACTTTGATACATGTGCTGTCACTACATATCTAGTATGAGAGACTGTTGTGTTAAAATATTAATGAGATGCTATGCTATGCAGGCATGCAGTGACTTACACGTGAAGGGGGCCAGTGATTCCTGTGTTTTGGTTTGTGCCAGATTATTGTGAACTCTGGGAAAGCTACACATCAATGCCGCATCTTGTGATCAGTCAAATGGTGGCCATTTGAGGAATGCATGGGCCATCTTGTGGAGCGTGTTCATCACACTCACTCCATTGGTTGGAATTACCATACCAGTTTTACTAGTGAGATTATCATAAGTGATAAAAATTCTTAATAAAATATAAAATTTATATTTGAAGGCTTATTCTAGATTTTCTCAAACATGAGTTTAAATTTTGAGTTTAAATGTAATATATAAACATATATTATATCTATGTATATCCAAAAGAGTGAAAAATCTTTGCCAGTTGTCCCTCAGACAAAAGACTTCTATACAGAACATATAAAGAATTGAAAAAAATCAGGCCACCCAAATTCAAGACCAATCCATAAATGGGCATCTGATATGAATACACAATTCTCAGATAAAGAAATACAATTAAATACATGAAGAAATGTTCAACATTAAGGATCACTCAAGAAATTCAAATTAAAACTACACTGAGATTTCAACTCACCCCAGACAAAAATGACTGTGATCTAGAAACTGACAAATAACAAATACTGGCGGTGCTGTGAGGAAAAAGGAACCCTTCTCCATTGTTGCTGTGAATGCACACTGGTGCAACCACTGTGGAATTGAGGAGATTCCTTAAAAACTATGATTAAATGTTCAATTGACCCAGCTATTCCTCTTCTGGGTTTTTCCCCAGAAGAATTGAAAACATCATACTACCACGATATATGTGCACCCATGTTTATAGCAGCACAATTTGTAATAACCAAGGTCTTAGAAACAACCAAAATGTCCATCAACTGAAGAATAGATAAAAATGATGTAGTATTTTTATACTATGGAGTACTACTTAACTTTAAAGAAGAATAAGCCTGAGGCTTTTATAGGTAAATGTATGCAACTTCAGGCCATACTGATTAGTGAAGTAAATCAGACTCATATGTGTATATACTTTATTGCTTCCCTAGTGTTAGAAACTGAAAAGAGTAAATAAGGTCCAAAACTCTATAATAGATATTGTGAAATGATAAGAAAATGCTCAAAAGGAAAGGACAACTGGAAGAGGATAAGGAGAAAAGAAGGAAAAAATATAAATTTGTGTATATATATGTATCATATATGTGCACCATATACATATATGTTGGCTAAGATAATTGTACTCCTAATTATATCAGTTCATGGAAAACACTAGTGTTTATACTGTTTGGTCAATTTTGCCTGCCTATATTAGGTAATCTGAACAACTCTTTTGAAGGTAACAATTTGCAATATGCAACTTAACAACCATTGTTAATTTCCTATCAGCCTATTTTGAAACCATATATCATTATTGTTTTGGGAAGTTTTGTTCTTGTTGTTTCCTTATTTTTTTCTGTGGTATTTTTATCTTTAAAATTAAAAAAAAAACTGACCATAACCAACAAGGAAAGGGACTGGGACCTCGTCTATACACCTGTTTAGAAGAAACCAAAAACATGACAAAAAAAGAAACAAGAAAAAGTCCTCAGCCCTGAGAACATTGATCCAGGAGAGGTAAATACAAAGGAGACTGAGGGCAGCAAACCTGCAATATCAGACACAGCATCAGTGAACATAAAGCGATATCTTTGGGACCTCATAGATGAGCTCTAAGGTGAAATATTTAATCAAGTAAAGCAAGATATAAGTAGATTAATAAAAGAAATGCTAAGCACCTCTCAAGAAGACAGAGATGGAGGAATGGAGGAACATAAAAAAAGGAGAGAAACATTCGATGAAGAATATAAAAAAAGCCTAGAATACATGAAGCAGGTTCAAAGAGATTACCAGGAAATAAAAAACTCCATTGAAAGCTGGCAAAACTGCTGAAAGAAACTAAGGATAGACTATCAAAACTTGAAGACAGGTTTGCAATGTGTGATCATGAAAAAATCTCTTAAAAATAACAAGGAAGCAGGAAGTAACAATACAAAGACTAGAAGTCAACAAGAGGATCTATAACTTAAGAATAAAGAATGTGAATGAAGAAACAGGAATAAATACAAAGGCTATTCACAGAAATAATTAAGGAAAACTTCCCAAGCATAGGAAAAGGAAATGATATTCAGATGTATGAGGCATACAGAATTCCAGTCACCTACAACCAAAACAGAGCTACATCCAGACATATAATAATCAAGATCCCAGAAATTCAATAAAAGAACAGAATATTAAAAGCCATCAGAGAAAAGATACAGATCATACAGATCTGGAAAAGGAATACAGATCTGGAAAAGGCAAAATTGACTATACAGATAAAGGAAAACTCATCAAAATCATGGCAGACTTCTTGACACAGTCCATCAAATCAAGAAGAACTTGGAGCAAAGTATTCCAAGCCCTGAAAGAAAATAACCTCCAGCCCAGATTGATGTACCCTGAAAAAACTGTCTCAAAATTAATGGAGAAACAAGATGCTTCCAAGACAAAGAGGAACTGGGACAATTCACGACCACCATCCAACACTACAGAGAATACTGGAGGACATTCTAGAGAAAAAGAAAAAGTACCAGGATTTCAGGAACAGTGGCAGAGAGGTCTCAATGAGTGGAGCAGAAAGTGGAATGAAGGAAAAAATCAGACAACTAATGGCAGAAAAGTAGCACAAAATGAGGCAGAGAAGCTTGGTATAATCTCTAATATAGATGGCCTTGATACACTAAAAAAAAGAAAAGAAAAAATAAACACAGGCAGAGTAGATCAGGAGGCAGGGTCCACCAAGATGCTCTATACAGGAAATGTAATTAACCTGAAAAAGGGTTTACAGACCAAAAATCAAATATGAGAAAACAATGCTCTATGTGATAGGGAACCAGAGAGTAATAGGGGCAACTTGACTAGCACCTGCAGATAGCAGAAAGACAGGTTTTGTAGGTAAAGGAATACAACTTGAGATCAAGTCCAGGAGGGAGAAGGTTTGAAACCACTTAGGTAACTAGCAAGTTTCCCCCTCAATCTAAA